AGCCAAATTATCTAATGAGAAGTACAACACTAAACATGGGGTTTTTCGTAAATATTACTAATAAAATTGTCATGCACAAAAACATTACTTTGTAACTCTTTTATTTTTTTATGTTTTTTAAAATATTACGTAGTAACAAATTAGTGACTATAATTGTGTTCAAAGTTTTCATTGTAGTAACTTACATGTACTTACTACGATGTAAATTTGAAAATAATTATAGTCACTAATAGTTACTAAGTCATATTTTTGTCCTCCGAAATTTAGAAATTAATAATTAAGGTTACTAATCAATGATATCTCTTTCTTCACTATGGAAAAACAAGTTATTTATCACGGATTTTGTCATGAGCAGTTGTGTAACTCATCCCCGATAAATCAAGGTTTTGTCATTGATTGGTTACGTGACGTCATGGGCATGACAAAACATATAGGTGACAACTCCGGTACCCATTTAAAAAATGGGGTACCGTACCTATCACTCACTTGATTGGTTCAAACATTACATCATTTTTAATTTACATTTAAATAATTCAACTACATCATTCTGATTGGTTCATGTGGACAAATGTATGGTACCTTAAGAGTACCATAGAATCTACTAAACTTTGTGACAGAGTAGTCCTTGACAAGGACGCCAATCCAGAAAAACATTAGCATATATATGTTGGAGACTTTGTCACGGAATACATCAGTGAGAAACTAGCGATGGTAATATTCAAATGATGCTCAACTGAATGCCTCGTCCACAGTAGCGATGGTAATATATAGGTTCTGATGACACACAATTTAGAAGATTCAATCATCAATATTAGTGCATGAGAACTACGAACAGATATATAAGTAATATTTTGTCTATGATTGTGTGTAATCACGCGAAATGTTTCAACACTAACTTCGTATTCTGTCGACTCAAACTCGGGATTCCATCCTAAAAGGTCAACCTGATAGGAGGAGTAGCCCATGTCTTAATATAACACTTTGTTGATTCGGACTTTTCCGATGTGGGATTCTAACACCCCTCCTCACGATCAGACACTTCGTTTGGATCGTGTCGTCAATCATTTTTTCATCGGTTCGTCATTGTCATTTTTTTTAATCGTGTCGTCATTTTTCATAAGGGGGTCCACACCATGATTATGGAGCAGTTTGACTCTGATAGCATGTTAAGACCCAAGGTTCCATCATAAGAGGGTCAACCTGATAGGAGGAGTAGCTCATGTCTTAATATAGCACTTTGTTGATTCAAACTTTTCCGATGTGGGATTCTAACAAAAAGTCAACATTGGTGCCACTTTTTAGTGATATATGAAGTGTTTCCCAAAAAATTAATATGCTTATACAAAATGTCTAGAAAATACTCGTATATAGATTATTTTGTGTGTGCTCTAAACTACACTAATTCATCTTTGCAAATAATGTACGGAGTATAAAATAGCAATCATGAAAGCATGAAAAATCAATGAGATATTGATAATGTACCACAAAACTTTATTGTTGATAGCTTCCAGACAACTATTGGTGCTAGTACTTCCAATCAATTCCTACCAGGAATTTTAAGCAAGACCTTGAAGATGTACCACCATCTTCATCAAAAGAAGGTGAATCTAATGTAGATGAGGATGGTAATTGGTAGTGTTGCTTATTGTGTAAGCTATGAAGAACTTTCTAACACCGCATGCATGTGCTTCATCAAAAGGTTGAGTTCGATGCATGTAAAGAAAAACATGCTTGATGTACACACCTTATACACACCATGTTTGTGAAGCTTTTTTTTTTTGTCTGTGAATCCGGTTCACAGACAATATTTTGTTTGTGCAAAACATTGTCTATGAATCGATGTTCACAGACAAAAAAAAAAGTTTTCACAGACATTGATGTGTACAAAAGTGTGTATAAGAGTGTGTACAAACATCATTTTTGAAATAAAAATGATTACAATTTACTTCACTTTTCAATACACACATGATCAAAGAAAGTGCTAATGACACTTTTTAATCGACACAATCCTTCATCTTTCTGTTTTGTAAATTATTCAAAACATGGGAGCAAGGAGGATCCAATATTTTGTGAATAAAGGGTTCAATCAATGCCTGTGAAGAAGAACCATAACTATTCTCTTTATTGCACACATACTAAAGTTTGAGTAGTGTTCATCAAAGAGATTTGTCATTGCAATTTCACGGGATACAATAAATAAGGGTAGATATATCTTTGTCAATGTTTAACCTTCATGGACAAAATTGACAACAGATCGGAAACCTATTGCCAACGAAAAAGAACTAAGCGATAATTTGCTCAATATACATTTATGATACTAATATGGGATTGAAAATAGAAATTTATCTTATCTATAAGGTGTTTTTGTTTGTTTCTCTAACTTTATTAATGTCATGCTAAAAAGAAAATGTTTATATTTTTAACATATTTTTTACTAAAAATATTAATAATCAAATCATGTCAATATACAGAGGCATCAGCAAAAAAATACATTGCATCATGATATCGTGGCATAACCCAGAAACATGTGGAATGAAAACATCGCGTTGGTAAAGATTTCGGATGGCTAATGAAAAATTCCATCAAAGTATTCTGGTAATATACGGATGAAGTTGTTGATTGCGCACGGGTGATGAAAGAATATAAAATTCGGGTTTAATGCACCAAATCCCTGTGATATGAAAATTCGATTCATTAACCCCATGTGATTTAAAAAATGTTTCAAACCTCCTTGTGTTTTAATTAATTATGTGCAAAATCCTTTATATGAACAAATTCAGTTGTCAAATCAAAGAAAAATGATTAAAATTTTTGTATGATTTAGAGATTTTGACATATTTATTTGCATAATCAATGAGAATATTAGGAAAAGTGATTTCAAATGCATTAAATTTATTCATAAAAGAGGTTCTGTGTCATGATTAATTAAAACACAAGGGGGTTTGATGTTTTTTTCAAATCACAACGGGCTAATGCACTGAATTTCTATATCACGAGGGGTTTGATGCATACCCATTGTTGATTACCTAGGGTGAGGATGGATACAAGAATGATAGTGCGTTAACAAGTTCAAATGTGGTGGTCGATGCTAGAAAATGACAACTTAACCTTGGAATCTTTGGCCTTCCATTTGCGACACATATTTTTCAGACGTATCTCACAGAGTCACAGGTGAGTTGTTAATAAAAATATAAAGATAGAGAAGTGTGTTGATTTATATAGAAGTTTTCTAGCTTCTTGATTTTTAATCAAATAACTAAATTATTATTAAAAGATAGCAAAGATACAAGAGAACAATAACCTAAGGCTACGACGAGATGAGACATGGAACTAGGAGTGGACCGGCCCGCTACTGTGCAGGCCGGGACCGGACCGGTGAACCGGTTGATGCCCGATTCGGGTCACCCAGCCCGGTGAGGTAGGCGGTTCGGGCCCGAGTCTGCTAAATAGTGAAACGGCCCAGCCAGTTCAGGCCCGGTCCGGACCAATTTTTTTTTTCTTTTTTTTTAATTTTTTTTTAAATTTTTGGGTTGGACTGGGTATGATGGGCCATTTGAGGTGATTTGGGATGGTTTGGGGTGAGGGGGGAGGGTTGGGGGTTAATTAGGAAAAGCCAAAAAAAAAATTACATGAATCGAGGCTCGCCCGGCCCGGACCCGAGGGTTACCCGGGCCGGTTCCGGGCCTCCCCTTTCATGAACCGAGGCCCGGCTGGGCCCAAACCCGAACCGGGCCCGAACCGGAACCGGTCCACCCTGACATGGAACGGAAAAGATCCAGTGAATCATTCCATATCGTTAACCCCGCAATAATGTAATCTATAGTCTAACAAACTTGTTGCTCTTCTTACTATAAAGAAAAAATTAAACATTACAATTTACAACTAAAAGATCTAACTTCACCAACCACTAGAAATGAAGAATTGATTTGACCAACAACCAACACAGGAATATTTTTCTTGCCATTAAATGCATTCACAAGTTGTAGGAAAAAGATAATTCATAAGGCCTTTCAGAAGAACCTGGATCAAATAGTCAAGAACCTGCGCACTATTAGCGAAAAAAACATTACCATGTTCGTATACACCTTTCAGAAGACTTTTATACAAAATTTCAAGTAACTCAGTCCCAACTAATAATAAAACAAACCAATATCATTACCTACAAATCTACAATTACTTGCACGAGCGTTTGTTAGTTCAACATTCATTACCATTTTTTTGGGTCTTCAAATATTTCTCTACAAGATACAACACTTTAAACATTTTCTAAATAAGAAATCGGAGTTCTCCATTTCTTGCAAACAATTTTACTCCGTATGATTCATAACTTATGTTTGTATCTGGAAAAGGTATATTGCAATTTCATATGCTATTGAGTATTGAGCTATTCTACTTCCAAAAAGTCCACTGCATTTCAATTTCCCTTTCATTTCATTTCATTTTCATTTACCCCAGTGCCACAAAGGCTCCCACCTACGGTAGGGTAAGGGGGGGTCGGATGTATGCAGTCTTACCCCTGTACTAAAGCACAGAGAGACTGTTTCCGGATGACCCATAGTGAAAATCGCGTCCAAGATTGCATGGACTGACTGCTGCTCCATAACAAAGAAGGGCAGACAGTTTAATGAGCCATTTTGCTTTATTCCATCATAATCTCAAGCCAAAAAATAATGAATCTTTGGCTCCATTGCAAATGATGGAAAATTCAATTTCCCTTTCATTAGAGCCAAATTATCTAATCAGAAAATACAACATTTTCAGGAGATGACAAAACAATGGACCAAGCACACATTTTTTCATTTGAAACAGCAAATAAACTTGAGTTTCTGTAATCAGTGTGCTAAGTTGAGGAATTGAGCTAACAGCATTTTTTTCTTAAGTGCACACATACAAGAAAAGTTCAACAATAGGCTGGCTTTACATGCTAATACTACTATTAATCTAAGGACACAATTTCCTTTCTTAAAGCCAAATTATCTAATTAGAAGACTTTCAGGAGATGACAAAACAAATGAACAAGCAGACATTTATTTATTTGAAACAGAAAATAAACTAGAGTTTCAGGGTGCACAGATCAGGAATTAGGCTAACATCAATTTTTGTCTCAATTACACACATACAAGAAAGTTCAACAATAGGCTGGCTTTACATACTAATAATACTATTCATCTAAAGGAACTCACAAATTTACCACATTGTGAATCCTTATAGTACTAAGTATTGCAGGGATATGAAGATAGATGAATGCGTCAATTAGATAATCGGTAAATGATCTACCCATGACAGGCTATCCGTAGCCAACGCCCCATATGCGCATGTGTATTAGCCAACCTCTCGGACAGATCAAGATTAAGATCAACCACTGCTTCCTCTGGTATTTGTTGGACAGCAGATAGCCTCAATCATGTGTAGGACATATTACTATATCCTGGTTCGGCATTTCTCCATGGCCCTTGGGGCTGCAAAATTCAACACAAAGTTAAATGCAAAGAACCCCCAGTTGTGCTGAAAAACATGTACCAAATGAGTCGACCTTTTATGCATGTGGTGGCACAAAGGAGCTAAAATTAGACAGCGATGTAAGAGCCTGTTTTCATTGGTGGGAAGGAACAGTTGTGGTGCTCCTTGGACAACCTTATTCATTATTTAGTAATTCTTAGTGTACGCCAATTTGTATACGCCCATATATTGTCTGTGTCATAGACAACTTTTGCATTTTTAAGACAAATTGTTTGTGCTACCTGCAAAATATAGGGGCATATACAATCCGTGTACACATGTGCGTGTACAAATGTAATTTTCCTTTCGGCTATATATTGTCACATGCATAGTACATTTTCTTTTCTTACTTGCCATAACAACATTATAAATAATTCAAAAGATTATTGAACAGTATTAAAACCACTCACCCAATCCAATGGCATCAGAGCTCTTCATGATTCTCAGCCTCTTACATGTATCAATGAACATCCTGCCATATAAAAACATTACTTACTTAGGAACATGCACCTAATGTGACCTGCTAAATAGTGTTAAAGCAATCATGCAGTGAAATATTGACACGTCTCGTGCCTAGATAAATAGAAAGTAAGAATAATAAAGAGAAATATACTAAACTTTACATGTAGAATACACAACTCAGTTGTGGTAACTGGTTGACAGCTCAGCAAATTGGAACAGTGACAAACTTTAGGTTGGTGCCACATATGTTGCAAGAGATACAAGCAATTATACATCTATGCCAATACATGAATACAGGATGATACAACCCTTCTATTTAATGTTTGGTTCGTTTGAGTGCCCAAGTATAAAAAATAGCAAGTATGGGATATACACATACATGGAAAAAGCATACAATGAATGTAGCAGTGCATCATGGATGTCATCATCACTGCCAAGAAAACTAGGGGTGTAACCGTGTAATCCCGTTCTTGATTAAAAAAACTGATTATAAAGTATAAACTAAAAAGGATCGTGAATGCCGTTACAAATTGAGTCGGAAAGTCAACAATAAAATCCCAATAACGTCAGAATCTTGATCTCAAAACCTGATAAATCTGAACAATGAAATCTTGAATATAATACTCCCTCCGTCACAAAAACAAATTCTAGTTTCAGTTTAATGATTTCAATTCTTACTTGATAAAACTCAAATTGGTATTAATGATTAAACTTTATATTTTTAGAAACTCAACTAAAAGTTCTATTGATACTCTGTATACATTAGAATTACATGAGAATACTTAAATTGGTATTAATAATGCAATACTGAATCAGAAGGTAATAAAAGATTAATGTATATAATCAGAAATTAAAACTTAATTGAAATATGATACGTATATATTTAGAAACTACATTAAAATCTCTATAGAATTGCAAAATCCAAATTAGAATATAATTAAAAATTGATATCCTAATGAAGTGAATAAAATGAAACTGTTTGACCAAAAAAAGTTGACTTTGCAAATCAATTTGGGATGGAGGTAGTACTTTAGAATAGTTGCAAATCAAAGTTAATGATTCTAAAATCTAAAAGTCAAAATGTGAATGTTGTGCAACAAAAAAAAAATCAATGGGGTAAACCGTTGCCTAGATAATCAACGATAAAAAATACCGTTGCCCAGAGCCAAAAGGCTAAAACCAATTTTATTCCAAGATGAGGCAGAATGAATCCTAACAAGGGGTTTAAATATCCATCTACTAAATCCCAAACTAGGAAACAAAATCCTAGAAATCCTAATCAACTCCAACTAGGAAATAGAATGAAAAAAGATCCTAATCAACTTCAAATAGGAAACAAATAATAGAAATCCTAATTAACTCCTAATAGGAAACAAATATTAGAAATCCTAATTAACTCCAAATAGGAAACAAATCGGGAAAATTAAAAAGAATAAATATTAATTAAGCAGCCCGCAACCAGCCCACGAAGGTGGGCTCAAGCCCGTTCCCACCTTCAGTAAACCCACGGGGGCTTCTGCCCCTCTTCTTCCAAGCCCAGTTATTGAGAAAATAATAATAAATTATGCACTTACATATACAATGGTATATAGATGTGAGTAGTAAGGATCACTACTTTTATGAAAAAAACTTGGTTATATCACTACAGTTGAGATACCCTAAGTTTTGAAAATCAACCCCGACTTAGTTGGAATCAAACAAATTCACGGCTACTCTGACTCTCTGAAGCACAGAAACCCTCGAGAAAGAGTATGTTTCTGTTTCGGAAACTCTATTGGAACTATTTGGAAACTCTCTAAACGATGTTTTTCAACTAGAGGATGATGTTTCCCATTTCCCATTTCCCATTTCATAGTGATTTTCACGTCTCTGTGCAACATAGCTCAGAATCTGGACTGTAGCAATCGGAATGCCAGATTTCCTGCCACACTGGGGAGGATAAGGGAAGTTGTATGAGTAAAATTCAATGCAGAGGGTAAGTTCACAAAACATAATGTTCTTTTTTTGTTCTCATCAGAAAAGCACTGAAAACATGTTCATAAGGATCAATACAGTCCTGTAACATTTGGACCCCTTAATCTAATTCCCCACCCTCAAAATGAGTAGCTTTTTTCATTTGTAAATTGGCTTTTGGAATGTGGGAGCAATGTAAAGGACCAGATGTAGGTTAGACTATCACAAGAAACAGGAGCCCAATATGGATATTAGATAATACAAAGGTGCATGTGGCATTTGATTTAATTAAGAAGTATTCTTTTTAGTCTCGGTTATTTTTACTTTTTCTTTGGGAGGAGTAAACAGTCACATACATCAAAATGAAAAGAAATCATATAGATGTATCATGTATGTATGCCTTCTTCCACTAAACAATAAGAACCGAGAGTTTGTACTTAAACAGTTAAACTCATTTTATGGTTTCACAGTATCAGAAAAAGTAAAAAATGTACAACTCTAAAAGTAAGGGACGGTACTCATTAATGTTCAGTATTATTTCAAACAAGGAAATAAAAGAAGAATGGTGAATGGCAGATTTAAATGTCAATAATAAAAAACAACTATGGGTTGATTAATAAATAACTACAGAGTAAATAAAGCCACAACAGAGGAACTTACTCCCAAGGAACATCACCAACAAGCATCCAATCACCATCCTTATCCTCATAAGTTAGGACATATTCAGATCCATGAATCAAATCCTTCAACTTACTCTCGCTTAAAATCTCTTTTCCTGGTGCTCCATGAGCTCCATATTGACCTGGCAGCGAAGGAATGTAAAAGTAACTCGAAACATACATGTATCTTAAAAAAGAAATTACACTTCAAGCCGACTGCCGATTTGTGACAATTTATTCAACTAAAAGTTGAAGTAAAATCTCACCAATGGTAAAACAGCTGAACATCTTTTCAAGAGCAGATGAGAGTTCCTGGTAAGCAGAATACATTCTGAGATCCACTTTCCTCAGATAAGGAGCACCATCCATGCTGACCTTAATAAAAAGGGCACTTGATCCTGCTTTACCGTCAACTTCTTCAATGTTCTTTGAGGCAGAAGCTATTGTGTTCTTCCTGTAAGATCTAATTGGTGGCCAACCAACAACCTGAGCTCTGCTAGCAAAATGAATACCCAAATAAGTTGGTCACACAATGACAATTTAGAACATAAATATCTAGGGCCCATTTGGTGAGCACTTTTGGCTATCAAACGGGCTCCTAGTCTGGAAGATATCATCACTCACTTTGTAGCAGGAGCACTACCTCCACCTTGGTTTTGAATGTTCTCATCTTTAGCTCGAGGCCTCTCCAGCATTGTGTTTGGGGTTGGCCCCTCTTTGATTTTAGCCTGTTGAGAGCCTTGATTCTCTTTCACTGAACCGGTTTTGACACTTGAACTGGAGAGAAACTTTTCCTGCTAACAATTACAGTATCTACAGTCAGAAGAAATTTGTCCGAAAGAGTGTTACTATTGACCGGGAAACAAAATTCACCTCTGAGAATCCACCCATAGCATCAGAAAACCCTCTTTTATTTCCAGAAACTACAGTCTTCTGTAATAGAATGAAGTTGTTTTCATTGGAAGGGCGAAGTGGGAAAAGCAGCTTCTCGTCGAGCTTAGTAGAGCTCAGCGGGCTAAGCTCGACATCCCTAAGAGGAGATTGTGAGCCAGGAAGTCCAAGTCTCAACTCAGTTGCCCTCAAAGTCAGTCCACAGGCACTACTATTCTCTGATGTGGTAGATATGGTGGAGCTATCCACAGATGAACAGTCAGACAGTCCCATATAGTTCCACTCTTTCAGCTCAGCTCCATTCTGCCCTAAACTGTCTAAGGAGATCGGAGAAGCCATCAGATTAACATTACTTTGGCCTTCGTCCTCCCCAATACCAAGCAGTGGCGGAGACATCACCCCTATCGAATTATCTCAAACTCCTTTGCACCTAAAAAGTTCAAAGCTCCAGAGAATCACTTGGAAGAAGAACTCGGAAAAATCATCAAATTGAACACTGGAATCTCATGCTCCCCAAAAAAGGAAATGAGATAACAAGAAAATTACACTCCGATAAAAGAATAATTCAACTATTTCAAGAACACTGAAAAAACAGGTAGCGAATTCGAGTCTTCAGACGACTAACCAGCTCATAGAAATAAGAATTAAAAAAAATGAAAGCAAAACCAACAAAAATAGTATATAGATCTATACAATAGAATCAGACAAAAGAAAATGGTCCGCAAATGCAACATGTATAGCTTCAGAAAAAGGGTCTGTAAAGAAAATATTCACGCAGATACACGAATAAACGCATAAAAAGGCGTAAAAGTAGACTTTTTATGGGGGGGCAAATAATAATAATAAGTACCTCCAAGAATAATGAGCAAGAATGGAATTAGTGAAGCAAAGCACTAAATTTATACCTGCAAGCGAAGCTTCTGAATCAATTTCTGGAGGTAAAGCGAGAAGGAAGAAGGAGATGATTATAGCCTGCTGTGGGGGATAATTTGGGTGTGCAGAAGCGAAGATAGAGAGAGATAGTAGCGGGAAGGAGAAAGAAACTAGGGACCCTTCATGGCAGAAAGTTACAAATACTTTTTTGCTGTCCGATGGGAAACTTAATGCGTATTACGAGTCAAAACACACACCTCACCCCCACCCCTACTCCCATCCCACCGTCCCAACCCTCAGCTCAGTCCTGGCTGTAAACGAACCGAGCTTTTATCGAACTATTTGAGTTTGAGCTCGGTTTTGAACCTAACGAACCGAACTTAACGAGCTTTCGAACTCGAACCCGAGCTGAGTTTTAGGTTCGAAAACTTAATCGAATCGAGCTCGAACATAGGAATATTTGGCTCGGTTCGAACTCGAGCCTATCGAACACCTAGAATTTAAATATAATTTATATATATTTCAAAATTTAAATATAATTAGTATGATTTTTAACGAATCGAATACTTGTCGAATCATTCGAGCACGAGCCTATTAACGAGCATCACCTAAAATTTTAAATTCAAGTATATTTATCGAGCTTATCGAGCACTCGGTTCGAACATCGAACACCTGACGAACCGAACACGAGCCTCGTTTGTAAAGCTCATCGAGCTTCGAGCTCGAACCCGAACACCACTAATTCGTTATCGAGCCGAACTCGAGCTCTGGGTGTTCGGGCTCAGCTCGGCTCGTTTACAGCTCTACTCGCAAGTTCCAACCTTCAAGAAAGTTATGGACAACCAACATTCCAGCGCACCGGATTGGAGGTTACCGTGTCCTAGCGGAGGTCTCGGCTTCGAATCCCGCTAGGTACATTTAAAGGGAAATGAGGGAGGTCTTGCTCCCAATGATTCTTCTTACCTTCACGGAGTTGCTCAGCTGCTGAGAAATGAAAGGATGATAATAAAGGTAGCGAGTTCATGCGGTAGGAGCCGCAGTTGAATGGTGATGTAAGCCCTGCTGGATTCTTTATCATTGAATCTTATGCTACTCATTTATATGTGTTCACACTTTACAAACTTTATGTTACTATATGCTTTTTAAATTAATTTGTGATCACTTCATACCAATAACCAAACATGATTTAAAAATTGACTTATAAGAGAGAGTGGTGGTCAATTAAACTCAACTCTAATACAAAAGGAAATGTAGATGTTTGTGAAACGAATCCAATGCTTAAACTCTTGTTTTAAGAAACACTCAATTAGTAAATCAATTGAGTGCAAGATCCATATCCTTCTTTTTGTTAATAAGTTGGACCATACTCATTCATAAGAAATGTATAGCATGCCCTTGTATTTTATCCAATCTTCCTTTTTTAATTGTCTCACTTTTTCATTTTCAATGACGAATGTGTGACTCTTTTGTCTCTTCTCTACATAAACTTTAACTACACAATTTTTACATTATTGTTTTATGTGTCAGTCAACTCTAAAAAAGTATAAGGAACAAAACAAAAGAAATACTACCTATGTTCTCCTAATATTCAGACGGAAGATAGTGGTATAGTTTTTTTAAAAAGTTGAATCATGTGTTTGATAATGAGTTGATAAAATAAATATAAAGTAAGAATGGATTAGAGCACGTAAATGTTACCAAATATGATATGCGACAATAATAGAAAGAAATCCGAAAATGAAAAATGGGACAATTATAGAGAGGAGAGTATGAAATATAAAAAAGTATTGTCTTTGTTTTTAAATGGTTGTAGAATGATAACTTCACTTCATTCGCTAAAATTGAATTGAAACAGTAGTGGAATGCATTATGCATAATATAAAAAAATGCTGAAAGTGAAAGAGTTATAGAAAAATATAAAAGAAAGATGAAAAAGCAAAAATAACACGTAAAAAAGTTGTTAAAAAGGAATGTATTGAAAGTATATAATAATGTTACAACCATATAACTACATAACGTGTATGAATAACGAAAAAGCATAAACAAATGACAACAAATTAAACTTTCGTAAACTGAAAGTAACATAATTAAAAGTGGATGGAGTGTGATATTAATCAGCCTTTGTCGCTGGTGGTCAAAAATATATGACGTGGATACTGTCATGACGACCACATTTGGATCTTTTGTTTTTAAACATTTTAAGAGATGCATTATTTTCTGTGGATAATGCACTGGTGAGAATATGAGATTAAGGGGCCTATATTTAACCTTTTCCCAAAATTGCGAGGAATCTCGGTATTCCAAGACAAAATCATTATCGCATTTTAATTATAATTATACGGAGTATAATTTTATAATTATACGGAGTATAATTAGGGGTGGGCGAAAAATACCGTAACCGATTAACCGCGGTAAATAACCGAAAAACCGATGTTTGTTTTGGTTAACCATACTGTGTTTTTTAAATCTTGCGGGACGGTTAACCAACCGGTAGAAAAAACGTTTTACTATACGGTTACGGTTTTGAAATTAAATACCGCTGGTTAACCGCTAATCCAAAGTAAATATATTGCTCCCAAATTCATACATACATTTTGCTTATTTATCCCATGTGAGTTCATAAAACTCCCTGTATTATATTCAATATTAACTCCTTGTCCATATTTATTTACAAATTTATGGAGTATATATATGGTATTGCATCTTAGATTTAATACTTAATTTTATTTTCGGATTTTATATTTAAAATTTCATTTTAGATTCAAAGAATATGGTATTGCATCTTACAAGAAATTTTCTCAACTTTCTGAAACGTATGTTTCAAATCTAACTTTTTTAGTTATACACTACGAGACAGTACAAGTACATATTGAATCACAGTTGAAGCATATTACGTACTCCGTATAAATTCTTCGTAATACGTACTCCGTATGTAGTATTATACTCCGTATATTGTAGTAAACTTCCAGTTGGTAAAAAAGTTATTCTGAAAACCACAATACTGCATATACGTAATTTACTACGTCTGTAACGTAATTTAGTATAGGGCGTTATTCATATGGCAATATTAAAACGAACCTAGTTAGTAGTTTATTCATTTACTTTGTATATACGGTTTTTTGGTTAACCGATTAACGGTTAACCTATGAGATGGTTAATTGTTACCCGGTTAACCGTCATTCTGGTACGGTTACTGATATCATAAACATATTAACCGATATTTCGATTAACCATAAATTGGTTAACCGAAATACGGTTAACCAACCATGCCCACTCCTAAGTATAATTATCATAAATGCGGGTAGCTATATTGAGGGGCGGTCCTAGGGAATGGGCAAGATGGACATGCGTCCAGGGGGCTCTTTGATCCATTAGGGCCCATAAATTTATCGTGTGTGTACATCGATATTTTAATTCTATATAAATCCTAAATCTATAAAAATTAAAAAATAAAATCAAACTTATATTTTTAGATACTTCCAATTCATTATTTAATATTAATATCTACACGATACAAGTCAATAATCTTTTCGCGCACTTCTTTTAATTATATCCAGAATTCATTGATATATTTCATAAAATTTCTCTGGTTCTCTCATTTAATGAAAGATTGAACTATAGTGTCCATAACTTAGAAACATGGAATTTGTTTTTGTCTGGTGAAAATGTGATTTAAAATACGAAAAGTTACTCCTTACCTGAGATATAACTTTCACAAATTTCCTTATTAATTCAAAACAATTATTGCACATGATAGTTGCACTACTTGTTTAGGTACATTGTATCCTCGAATGTCACTTATCAAATACCCTCTATATAATTTTTCTAACCATGTACTTCGTTAGTTGTCTTTATGTGTTATACTAGTACTTGGACAGTAAATTGTACGTAGTATAACTTTAAATTATAGATTTTTATAGCAAAAAGAACATTGTAAACATTCTCGTGCTATCCCTGAGACCTAGTCTATTTGTACCGTACCGGGTCCATAAAATGTCAGGGCCGTGCCTGGCTACGTTAGAAAAAATTCATCGCGTTCATATTTATCCACACACTCACTAGAGATGTTTGATTTTTTATGGTAAATGACTTATATTACGTTTGAATTGACCAAAAAAATCTACTCTATGAACGGCCTAGCATCGTCTAGGGCTAGTTTGGGGGCGACGACAAGTTTCTTCACCAGTGTTGTGCGGCTCGTGTGTCTGAAGGAAAGAGGTCGCTCAATTCCATCGGTGGTTGCGAGCAGGGTACTGGTATTTGTGACATGGCACATGCTTAGTTAGGGCTCGATCGGTGAACAAAGGCTTGGCTGGAGAACGGTGGTTGATTTACCCCTTGGCGATGTTAGCTCACTGAACAGGGTGCGTAGAAGAGGAGGAGGGAGGCGCAGATCGAATTGGTGTCTGAGAAGGCGCTTTGACAGTCCTGAAGGAGCGGCGATTCAATTGAATTTGTTCGGGCCAATCTAAAGTCATATGACGGCGATGAACCAAGAACAGATTGAGGTGATGCGGTTGGCCATGGTGTACGGCACTATGGAGATGGATGAAGAAGACGAGACTATACTGGTGAAAATTATGGCTTTGAGTGCGGATGGGAGTCTAGCGCTCGATTGGACCATCACTTCCAAAAATTCGTGTTCGGATGGTGTTGAAGTATCAATCGTAGCAGTCGTGATGGTTTGGCCTCGTCCTTAACCACCGCCATGGAATGCACGAGTTGGAACTTTGGTTGTTTGTGGAAGGTCTCAGCTAGAAGGGATCACGAATAGTGGAGCTTGAAAAGTAGTGGCAGGCTCATTTCAATATTGTTATTTTCGAATTTGTCTTTTATTTTGGACTCTTAGTTGTTTGAGAGTTTTATGCTTATGAGGTGGGTAAGTATTTTATGCTAAGAAGTAAAATGGCTTCAAAAGCCGATGTAATCTTCAAATCTCTCATATGGTTAGCGACTCGATTCGCTCTAGTTAGAGTGGTTGTTTCTATGTCTAATCATAGGGTGAGGAGATCTTCGGGTTATTGTAAGTTTGGTAGAAGGAGGCTGTTAAGTATTGAAAAGTTCGTAATGTCATTGGTTCTTGAATTCTAATATAATCAGTATGTTTCCTTTCAAAAAAACTGAGGGGTCAGGATTGAGACTGCCCAATTGGGTCCCGAAATAAGTGAATTGGGACCGGGTACTCATTCTGAATGGACAGGGTCTGTCCCATGCTGAAAAAACGAACATGATTTGGGCCCAAACAGTATCATATACAGTTCCAAA